GAATTTCCTTAAGGTGGTAAGAAGGAAACTGAAGTGTCACCTTCTCCATAAGACATTCCTTGGCCATCTGCTTAAAATTGCAGTCCCTGCCACCTCAACACTCCCCATCTGCTCTCCTTATTTTACTCCTTAGTACTTCTCATTAGCCACAGTACTATATATTTACTAAAGGTCTACCCTACTAGCATGTAAGCTTCCTGAGGACAGGGATTTTTGCCTATTTGTTCACTGTTGTATCCCCAGGGTCTACAACAGTGCCATGAAAAATATTTGTCGAATGAAGTCAGGTGGACAAGAGGAGAGGTTGGCCCGAGAGAGGCCAGACACTTCACCCACATGGAGAAGGCAGAGTGGAGGAGCAGAGACCTCAGGAGGCTGATCAGTGTGGCCGGAGCTTGTACCATCTCTTCTGAGAGCTTCCATTAGATAAGTATAGAATTCCAGGTTAGAAATAATTTTCCCTTAGAGGTTCAAGACGTGGTTTCACTGTCTTCTGGTTTCTAGAACTGCGACTGCAAAATCTCATGCAATTTTGATTCTTAACCTTTGTACAAAGACTAGTTTGTCTCTATCCTTGTATTGTAAAAGTTCATGATAAAGGCGCTTGGTATCTTCTTTTTAAACTTTCCAAAAATTCTGAAATATATACATATACACATACATATAAAAGTATGCATATCACATAAGCAACTTTTAAAGGAAAAAAACCTTAAGACTCCAAAACCCAGCACCTAACTCAGTGGTTGGCAAACGACAGCCTGAAGGCCAAGTTTGGCCTGCTTCCTATTTTTGTAAATAAAGCTTTGTTGGAACACAGCCACACCTACTAGTTTACTGACTGTAAACTACAAGGTCAGAGTCCAGTAGTTGCAACAAAGACCATGGCCTATAAAGCCACATTTTTTTCGGATCCTTTACAGAAAAATATGCTGATCCCTAACCTAGCTCAAGACTGAAAACAATACTTTTGATATCCCCCATATGCCTCTTCCCAACTATACTCTTCACTCCCTTTGGGAAACTACTACCTAAATTTGGTGTTAATCATTTCATTTTTTTCCCCCTTATAGCCTGTATGTATCCCTAAATGATATACCATATAGTTTTTCTTACCTGAATTTTATATGAATGAAATCATACTGTATATTCTTCTGCACCTTCTTTCTTTTACTTAGAATTCTGTATCAGAAACCCAATTATGTTGATAGCATAGTTCATTTTCACTGACACAGTGTTCCATTGTATGACTAGGCCACAATTTATCAGTTCTCTGTTGATGGTTAAGTGGGCTCTTTGCAGGTTTAACAACAAAAAAAATAATGCTGCTATGAACATGCTTGAACATGTATCCCACCATACAGGACCAAGCAGTGTGTGTAGGTAACACATACACACACAATTCCAGCCAGGAGTGGAACTGCTGAGTGTTGGGCATATACAAATAGTTTTGAGCCACATACTTTTCAGAGAGAAGTTCTCTAATACATTTCCAACACTTGGCTTTATCAAACATCTGATTTTTGCGAACATAGTGTTTTAATTTGCTTTTCTATGATTACTAATGTGGTTGAGCGTCTTTCCACATATTTTTTAGCCATTTGTGTTTCTTCCTTGAAAAGCCTATTTGTGCTTTTCACCAATCTTTCTATCGATAGATTTGTCTTTTGCTTTTTAACTGAAGTACTTCTTTATATATTTCAGTTATTAATCCTCTGTCACTCTTTCATATGGCAAATAGCCCATTCTAGCATGTGACTTGTCTTTTCATTCTCTGAATAGTATGTTTTAATGACCAAAAGTTCACGATTTTAATCTCTTCCTTTATACAATGTATATTTTGGATTATTTAATTAAATCTTTCTCTACCCCAAGATCAGAAAGATTATTCTATTTTGTCTTCTAAAAGTTTTAAAATTTTGCCTTTCACATTTAAGTCCTTGATCCATTTGGCATTGTTTTGCATATGGTGTTAAGAGAAATTGTCTTCCCTTTCTTCCCCATGTGGATAATCAGTTATTGAAAAGTCCATCCGTTCCCCCAGATTCTACAATGCCACCTCTGTTGTATATGAAGGGCTCATATGTACACATGTGTTCTGTTCCTGCAATCTCTATTCTGTTCTGTTGGTCTATTTGTGTATTCCTCTACTCTTATTAGTGTCTTAATTATTATAGCTCTATAAAAAGTTTTGATATCTGGTAAAGCTAGCTTCCACAACCCATTCTTTTTCTCAAGGATGTCTTGGCTCTTCCTCTGGCTTTTCTGTATTAATTTTAGAATCAGTTTGCCAAATACTATGCAAAATCCTAAGGATTTTGAATGGAATTGTATGTGATCTATCGATTACTTTGGAGTGAAATGACATCTTCAATGTTTGGTCTTCCTTTAATGAACATGGTCATTCTTTTTCTCCATCTATTGATGGTAATATGAGTTTTTCCTTTAACATGTTAATGTGATTAAGTTATTAATTATTATATTAATAGATTTTATAGTATTATCAACCTTACATTTCTGGAATAAACCCAACTCAGTTATTATGAATTAGATTTTATGCATTGCTACTATTTTTTTGTGACTTTTACAGCTATGTTAATGACTGAGATTGGCTGATAAATTTTCTTTCTTGTAGTGTCTCCTTGTGTGGCTGAATGTCAAGGTTACATAAGCGTCACAAGACAAGCTGGAATGTTTTTTCTCTTTTTTTCTAGACCCTTAAGGTGTTTGTCTAAGACTGAAATTATCTGTTCCTTGAGATGTTTGATAAAACACACCTGTAAAACCATCTGGGCTGAGCGTTTTGGGAAAAAAAATTTTACATATCAATTCAATTTCTATAAATTAAATGATCTATCCAATTTTTCTATTTCTTCTTGATTCAATTTTGGCAAATTATATTTTTCTGCCCATTTCACCTTAGTTTTCAAATATTGGTATAACATTGATAGCAGCATTTTCTTCCTATTTTTAAAATTTCTGCTGCATATGCTCTTTGTGCTTATTGCTTTATTACTTTATTTCATTTTAGTTTGGGGAAGGAGCAGAAATAACTGTGTGTTTAATATACAACATTTATCTAAACAAAATCACACAGAAGGTATATTCTTCCTTTTCTATAAGATGGAGGAAATAACAGAACCTACTACAAACAGTTGTTGTGAGGATTAAATGAGTTAATAGACGCAAAGTGCTTGGCAGTGTCTGACACATATTAAGGGCTCAAAAATATTATAATTACACCATAGGGACTTCACTCCCACTAATATGATGTCCTGTTTTTGTTCTACTGAAGTTCAATACTCCAAAGCAGCAGTAACTGGTTATGGACTAGACTCTCAAATGTACTCTTATTCTACTCAGCCTCATAAAGACACAATGTTAAATCTGGCTGGCAACACTGTCAATCTGAAACATAGTCTGGGTTTTCAGGCCCTGAGATTATGAACTGCACTTCTAATTTAAATAAAAAGCAAAACAAAGCAAGGGATCTACTGTTTTTTCCCTTGAGGACAAGGGCCATGCTTTCATCATCTACTATGTGATATGAGCCTAGCACATAGCAGGCAATCCAAAAATCATTAGTTTTTCACAAGCAAAAAATGCCAAAGAAATAAAATAATGAAGTTCTGCTGAAAACTATAAAGAAAACTCTAATAGCCTAAGTTTTCATTATTAGGTGCCTTGTATTCATAGGTAAACACACAACTGATTTTATCCATAGGCCCTTCGCTACAGATATTCCCACTCTAAGAAGCTCTTTTACCCTTCTAACACAGAGGTACCTCTTAGGCATTCTACTCCTAGTTAATTTCTATACGTAAGTTTCAGCTCAAAAGAAAAAAAAATTACTGTAAGCAGATATCGAACTTTTGTTAATAATATACTTACTCAATTATTTAGGAGGATGTATACTGATGTCTGTGATTTACTTTGAAATGCATCAAAAAATAAGATGGATTGATGGATGGTATAAGGGATGGATAGATGAATAAATATGTGCCAAAGCAAGCATAATAAAATGCTAATGGCAGAATCCAGGTAGAATTATATGGGTGTTCACTGTAAAATGATTTCAACTTTCTATGTTTGAGAATTTTCATAATAGAATATTGGGAAAAATATAAACTCCTATACTTACCAAGTTTAAAAAGTTAAAATAAAAGCAATATGAAAAATAGTTATATATATAGCAGAAGTTATTACAATATAAAAAGAACTCATTCCAATTTATAAAAGACACAAAACAAAACCAAGAGCCATATACAATAAACGGGAAAAGACATTACCAAAATACAAATAGGAAATAAGTCTATGGAAAATATTCAGTTCTAATAAAAGAAATTAAAAATAAAGCAAACCTGCAATAGCATTTTATGCCTTTTTTATTAGCAAAATTAAAACATATAAAGAACACATACACAACTCTGGCAAGGCTGCAGTGAAATGGTACACTCACATACAGCTGGCAGCATTCACTATAAACAAGCACACCACGTCTAGGAAGCAATCTGGCAGTTCATAGGTCACTTATCAAGTGCTTATCAAGTCATTTGACCTGGTGGCCCCACTCCTTAGAAAATGAACTCTTTCATCAAAAGCAGCCAAAAGATGTTCACTGCAGTGTTATCTACTAAAGGATTAAACTATGAACAACGTAAACGGCCATCAAGAGAAGAAAGATTTAGTAAATAATGACACATTAGTATAATAGAACATGATATAGATGTAAAAAATGACAATGATGGAAGCTTATGTGGAAATATACAAAGTGTTCATAACATACAATCAAATGGAAAACTATAATTGATTGTGAAACTATAAGAATAAATGAAACGTGCAGCAGTACTGTAAAGGAACATGAATAATTAATGAAAATGACATGTTACTATCAGAGGGGACTGTGGCTGATCTCTTTTTCTAAAGTTTTCTTTAATCTTTCTGATGCATCTTTCAATTAAAATAAAATAATTAAAAGACTCATCTCAAGACTGTCTACTCACAGTGCTGAGTTTGCTGCAAATGATGAGTATCCGGCGTTCGTAGAGCATACTGGCGTACAGATGTAACATGTTGTTTACATCCACAGCCACAAAATATTCTGTCAGATTTCTCTAGGAGAAAGAAGGGAAGGTTTGTGACTTATTTTGTTTGTTCTTATTACAAGCAGCATCTAATAAAAGCAAAAGAAACAGAAAATACTCAGGAAGTATACTTTCCTCTTCCCCTGTCCTATTCTTCCTACCTGTGAGAGCAAACCTCAGTCATGTATAAAATCATGAAATGTTAAGTTGGAAGAGCCCTTCGAGATGAAGTAGTCTGAGCAATTACACCTCTGTGTGGTGATTACAGTTTACAACATGAGGTCATATATAGCGCTGCACTGCTTTTCAAATCAGTTCTGAAAGGTGAGCAGGACAGGAAAGAAGTCTGCAATCTTACAAATGAGGAAACCAAGGCTCAGAGAGAAATGCCAAGATCAAAAAGTCTGATGAGCGATGAAGACAGGACTGCATCTCAGATCTTCTGACCCCAGCTCCTAGAACTTGCCCAATGCACTGTGCCATACATCTAAGCAAAAGAAGGTACCCAGGGACCAAAATGCTCCTGGCACAGAGCCTGGTTCTGTCCAATAGATCCCACCCGAAAGGCCGGGCATGCTCCTCTCCTGTCATCACTGCTGGTGTCCCCCTCCTCCACAGTTGACATTCTCTATAATGGCTCAGCTGGAATTAAAGCAATTTTGAAGATTTACAATTTCCAGGTATTTCACTCAAAAAGAAAAAAAAAATCAAAGACAAGCAGCAGCAAGTTGTGACAAAGCAGTGTTTTAACTAGCTTTTGTCTGTAGCCTGGGCTCCATTCCTTTAATTAGTACTATAGATTGGTACTCTTCAGATTTCAGAAAAAATGTAATGTGTTTCATTTCTGCAACCCTTTCTATACCCACCTGAATTTAATAATACACATGAATATGCTAATTTCTTCAATGTTACAGGTTTTCAATGCCACACAATATAATCTTCTGAAAATGAAGGGAGCTGGGGAGGGAAGGAACGTTATTGCTAGGGGTTGCAGTTTATAATGATGAAAGATCTGTAACCCATAAATCCAAGTATACCAGGTGGATTTTACATGCAAAATAGCATAAAGTGCTTTTCAACAATATTACGGGTTGGGAATAAGAATGGGCACTTATCTTATGATTTATTATTGTTTGATTGGAGTACCAGGTTAACTATTGACCTTTATAAATAGTGAATTAATAGCTCCATATACTGACTACCTACCAAGTACTAGGCACTGTACCAGGTACTTTTCTACGCATGATCTTATGCAATCTTCACAAAAATCCAGTGAGGTATTAGTCTTTCCAATATACAGATAAAGTATGTCTGGGAGAGATTCAGTAACTGGTAGAGTCAGATTTTGGACTCAGATCCAACTCCATAGCCCATACACTTTCCCTTACATTACACTGTCCCTCTTAAATACTTTTAAATATCTACAATACACAAAGTTTTACAAATATTATTTTACTTAATCTTGTAACCACTCCTTGAACAGGTATTATTATCTCTATATACAGATAAGAAGGCAGGCACAGAGAAAGTGAAGTAATTTGCCCAAGATTGTACAGTAAGTGGATAAGGCATTATTCAGTCTTGGGTGGGTTTATCTCTAAACCTGTGCTTTTTTTTTTAATACCACTAAAAATAGTAGGTAAAAGTTTTGTTTGTTAAAAAGAAAGCATAGCATAGGAACAAAGCAGGATCAAAGTATGCTCAAAGAAAGAGAAAAAACATTTCTGTTAAGGGGCCGGCCCAGTGGCATAGTGGTTGAGTTTGCACGCTCCACTTTGGCAGCCTAGGGTTCATGATTTTGGATTCTGGGCGTGGGCCTGCACAGTGCTCATCAAGCCATGCTGTGACGGCATCCCACATACAAAATAGAGGAGGATTGGCATAGATGTTAGCTCAGGGATGATCTTTCCAAAAGAGCAAGACTGGCAACAGATATTAGCTCAGGGCCAATCTTCCTCACCAAAAAAACACCAATCACATTTCCGTTAAAAATTATTGTTATCCCTTTTATTGAGCAATCCTTATGTGCCAGACAATAGTTATTTGGCTTGTGTTCTCTCTAATCTCAACAACCATGAGAAAGGCATTATCATCTCCATTTTATAGATGGGAAAACTGAGGCTCAGGAAGGTTAAGTGGTCTTCCAAAAGTCACCCAGCTAGAAAGGGCCAACTTTCAAAACCAGGTCTCCTGACTTTAAAACTCTTGCTCTACCCACCACACCAACTTGCCTCTTGACAAACTCAAAAAACAAAACAAACAAAAAAGGCAGTCTGAATTCATCAACAAGTATCTCTCTTGCCGGTGGACTGAGGAGTGCTGAGCTAATGATGTCAGGGTGGGGTTTGTTCTGAAGACAGTGACATGGCAGAGCTATTCTCGCAAACAAAAATACAAGGCCCTCAGCTGAGCATTTCAGTAAAATGCTTAACTGCTGATGAATTACATGAATTTTTCTTTTAGGAGAGGATGGAAGTAAAAAGAAAATAGAAATGAGGAGCTTAAAGAAGGCCAGAAAGCCCATTAGCACTTTTGACAGATCCAAAGATAACTCTGAAGCCACCAAAACGTGGCCTCAAGAGTCTGCCAAGAAGCTTCACGCTGGGTAGAAATATGTTACACAGCTTGCCGTCCAAATAGGGAGACACAGCGTCAGAGACAAATCCTGCACCTTATTTTGGTGGGAGAAAAAAAAAATCACAAGGATACTTTTGAGGATGGGGAAGGGAACATTTCTGAAATAAAAACACCACTTGGTTGAGGCATAACCCCCAGGTCCAATCAGGTTCTGAGGGATTCAGGTGCTTGTTCCAAAAGCTCGACACAGGTATGTTAAAAATATGTAACATTTAGCCAAATTCTCTCTAAACTGTCATGTACTTTTTTTGGTATTTCTCATCCCATCTGTGCTGATTACCAAGATATTTGTGTCTAAACAGAAGCTGTCTTTCTTATCTGCTTCCTCCCCTGCCTCTTTCCTTCTGGGATGCCACCCGCCGAGGACAGTGGGAGTGGGTGGGAGTGGTGACAGCCCTGGGAACCTCACCCAGCCATGGGAGCACCTGTGGGGCAGAGGGGACCTCAGCAACTGCAGGGAGGACTTGCATTTCCTACCAAGTCTCATCTCAGAAGAAAATCCCTCTGAGAGAGGGGTCTGCTTCTCCGAGCCTTTAAGCATCCAGTGGCTTGAGCCACAACACTCCTCAATTTCTCAGACCTGCCATGCTTTTTCAGGCCTTTACTTCTGCTGTTTCCTCTGCCTAGAATGCTCTTCTCTTCCTTGAGGACACCCATTTACATTTCAAGACTAAGCTCAAATGTCACCTCCTCTTAGAAGGCTTCCTTGACTCCTCATTTGGCCCTCCATTGTTCTTCCATGGCAATCTCTATATCTTATAATCACTCAGTTACAAGTACGTTTTTCCCACTAGACTGAGGTCCATTTGGGTAGAATGACGTATCTCATCATCTACCAGTTTGATGAAAGAATGAATCAATGAGTGAAGAAAGTAACTGACTGAAGACTACTGCTGCTTAGCTCGAGCGTGAGGCAGTGGCGTAAGAGAAACACACCAGCGAAGGTGGTATATCAGGAAGAACATAGCATTTGACTTCAGAAAACCTAGGCTGAGTTGGATGAAGTCATCAATGACTTAGTAATGGTGAAGGGTCCACAGAAAAAGAATTGGCACTGGAGACTCACAAAGTCAGGTAAGCCAGGTGGAGAAGAGGGGGCTTTTTAAGGTTTCTGTGGGTACATTTACTAAAAGTGTAAAGAAATAGGTGGTTTGTTTATCAAGTAACTGCAGGGGTGGGGCTGGGGGACATTGTTCACAGAAGCAAGTGTTCATTTCACAGCCAGGCCATCCTGTTTCTCAGATGGGTAAGACCAGAGTGCAGGGAATGGGGAATAAGGAGAAGAGATGGCTTCCATGGCCAGTTGTCCTGTCCAGATTGCAGCCAGAACCTATCATGAGTTTACATTTGTAAAGGTATGCCACTCTCCCAGCACTTTGAGTCCATGGAATTAAGTCTTCAACCTCCCATTTCTGTCTCCTATAATCAGTCAATCAACAAACACTTACTTGACTCCTACTATGTGCTTAGTACCATCCTGGGAGCAAGAGTGGCATTAGACCCAGAAACCCAGTGCGCAAAGTTCTGCGGTCCAGGCTATACAAGCTCCAGGGCTGGCTAAGAAGGGAAGATTCAACTCTGCTGGATGGATATGGGGAGAAGACTTGACAGAGGAGAAGATATTTGGTCTGGGCCTCCCAAGGGGGGTTCACTCAGTGGACAGAGGGAAAAGCATATTCCAGGCAGAGGCAAAGCAAGGAAGAGAGAGGAGCTCCAAGCAGGTCAGTAGAGTGAAGGGTAGCGAGCAGGGCAGGGGACATGCTGGGGCAGGGAGCTGGGCTCGGATCTTGCAGGAGCCTAGACTTTACTCACAGGTAATAGGGAGCTACTGAAGGATCACGATATGACTATATTTGATCTTTTTAGAAAGATTTTCCTAGAGGTGCTGTGGAAGGTACACAGGAGAGGGCAAGTAGGAGACAGAACCGTCAGTTAATGGGCTACTGCCATATTCTGGGAAAGAATGATTAAAACAAATACCTATTTAGAGGAGAGCTTTGGATGCGGATGTGACAGATCTCTGTAAAGTGGAATCACAGGACTTGACAATGAATTAGACTTGGGAAGAGGGGGAGGAAAAATCTTGGAGAACCCCCAGACTTCCAGGTTACTGTGTACCACACTTGTCCACTTGCCTAACCAGTTTTTCAAAGGGACAGTCCATTCATTTAACGAAGGATCAATCTTCCTTCTAAAGAACCATCAATCCTGTCAAACACGGTGTCACTGGCCACTTAGTCTTAGGTCTAGTGTCCTGGATTATAATGCCACCATGGCTAAGCCTAAGTAAAAAACCCCTTTATTCCCTGACAATTCACTTCTCTGTGGACTCATTTGCCAGGAAAGGAAAATCTTGTTTAGAGGCACTATTTCCTATTTCACTATGTCCAT